TTTCACAAAACAAACTCTCAATTGCTTAAAAGCTTTTTAAACAAACACTAAACAAAACTTTAAACCCTTATTAAACCTTCTTAAAAAACATTCTCTTCAGTTGTTAGAACTGAGGATATGTGGGGGTATTTATAGAAACCCCAAATCCAAGAGAAAACAAGGCAAAAGGACCAAAAACCCAAAAACGGTACAATCTAAAAATATAGTCGTTACAGTGTTATGAGTCGACTTAGTACTGTTCATAAGTTGACTCATAAGTAACCATTACAAGCTAAAAATTAACTTATGGGCCAACTCATAAAATTCATGAGTCGACTCATCATGCATGGGTCGACTCATGAAGTCATAGGTCGACTCAGCAGATATTCTAGCACAGTTTATGAGTCGACTTATGACAGGCATGAATCGACTCAACCTGATGGGTCGACTCATGATGTTGTGAGTCAACTCGTCAGAACTAAAATGTAAACTACACAACAGTTTATGAGTCGACTCAACATTGTTCATGAGTCGACTCAAGATATGCACACAGTCTGTTTTAAACAGAAATATGATTTTCAAACCTCTTTTAAAAATAGCAAATAAAATCAGAAAAATATAAAACTTTGGGAAATGATTGTAAACATGATAATAAACATGCTACAAAAACTGGTTTTTAAAAATAACCTCCCAAATGAAAAATATTATTATTTTGCAAAATAGTCCAAAACATAAAAATGTAAACACATGAGTTTTGACATTTTAGCTTAACCATGTTTTGAAACATTACAAAATAATTTTGTAAACTTAATAAAAAATGTATATGATTATTGTTAAGTCCAAAAACTAAAAATACAATATTTTCACAAATACAATAGAATATGAAACATATGAGTATGTATATGAATATATATTTGTTTCATATCTATGAAATTAAACCAAACCAACTTATCCACGTAAAAACAAACATGTATGTATATAAATATTTATTTATATGCTTATAAAAACTTTGTTTGTGGATAAACCAAAAGCCAAAATGTGTATATATATATATATATATAACTATATATATACTTAGAAACCAATAAAATGTGTGTGTATATGATATTGGCTTAAAGTATCTAACACACATAATATAAACCCTAAACTAATTATACCCAAGCTTGTGATCTTCAACCAAGCTCTATCTTGGTACATATGCAGATGAAGCTTGAACTTGGATCTTCAACTTGAATTGCAAAGCTTCAACCACTATTTCCGCCAACCTCCATTTGATATGATCGTAAAAGCTTGATTCCATCCATCCTATAACTCGTTGTTTGTCTACAATAAATAGAAATACACCAACACTAGACAAACAACATTTGTGATAAATTGTTTGTTAAACATCATCAAAACAAAGAGGCCAACATCTACAAGTTATGATCATCACAATGTTAGAAGAACATGATATTATAAATCTCATGCACCCACCTATAATTTTTTTTTGTTTGTACCTATTGCATAAGACATGGCCACACTTCCACACATTGTAGATTTAGAGATCATGTTTATGATTATGGGATGATATGGATACCCAAGGGTACTAAAAATACTAACATTCAAGGACCCAAAGTTTGGGTACCTAAAGGTTCTACAACTTATTTACATGTAGGGAACGTCTCACACAAGACGTAAGAAGTTGTGGTATCTTGATAGTGGTTGCTCACATCACATGATGGGAAACAAGGAATTATTTACAATCCTATCAAGGATTGAAGGAGACAATATCTCGGTGGTGGGGAGAAAGGTAAAATTGTAGGAATTGATAATATTGGTAAGATACATTCTCCTATAATTGAGGATATTTATTTTGTTAAAGGATTAAATCATAATCTTCTTAATATTAGTCAATTAAGTGACAAAGGCTTTGACATTATTTTCAAACCGGATAAATGTATTGTTAGTAGGAATAATAAAATTATTTTTGTTGCTTTTAGAAGATCTAATATTTACATTTTTGAGATGAATGAGCTAATAGATCAAGATGTTAAGTGCCTTGTCGCGGTGGATGGAGATCATTGGATTTGGCACAAGAGACTTGGACATGCTAACATGGAGTTAGTATCTAAGCTATCCAAGAAGAACTTAGTAAGAGGACTATCAAATCTAACTTATATTAAGTTCCTCTTTGTGAAGAATGTGTTTAAGGTAAACAAACTAAGAATACCTTCAAATTCATTAATGATGTATCCACTTCTAAACCTTTATAATTATTGCATCTTGATCTCTTTGGTCCTATGCATATTACCTCTCTAGAAGGTAAACATTATGTATTTATTATTATTGATGATTTTTCACATTTTACATGAGTAATTTTTCTTGTAAATAAAGATGAATATTTTAAAAAGTTTTCTCATTTTATAAAAAGAATTGAAAATGAAAGGACTTAAAAATTGTTAAAATTAGAAGTCATTGTGGTGGTAAATTTCAAAATAAATTATATGATGATTTTTATGCTCATCGTGGAATAACTCATATGTTTTCCACTCCTAGAACACCTCAACAAAATAGTGTTATTGAACGAAAAAATAGAACCATACAAGAGATGACACGTACAATGATTGATACTTTTAATTTGCCAAAATACTTTTGGACGGAAGCCATAAATACGGCTTTTTTTTTTTTTAAATGTTTACCAAAATATTTTTGGACGGAAGCCATAAATACGGCTTGTCATGTTTTAAATCGTGTTTTGATTAGACCTACTTTAAAAAAAACTCCTTATGAGCACTTTTTTGGCAAAACCTCATATATTGGATATTTTTGTATTTTTGGTTGTAGATGTTTTATCTTAAACCCTAAAGACCACTATGATAAGTTTGACTCAAAAATTAATGTTGGTATATTTTGAGATATGCATCTAGAAGTAAGGCTTATAGGATTTTTAACAAATGAACACTCGTTGATGAAGAGTCTATAAACGTTACATACTTTTGATGAGACTAATATTGGTTTGCAAGATGGTATGCCTAGGGATGATGATGATATTAAGGGAGGATTGGAGCTCTTGCAACTAAATGACAAACCCTCAATGGAAGCACCAAAGGGAAAGAAAAAACGAACAAAAATCAAGAAGAACTCTCTAAAGCTTGGAAGTTTGCACCAGATCATCCCAAGGACCAAATTATAGGAAGGTCAGCCAAAGGCATTATGACTCGCTCAAAAGCAATGAACGAATGTAGTAATGTAATATTTTTATCCTAGATTGAGCCTAAACGTATTGATGATGCTTTAAAAGATGAGTTTTGGGTTTTAGCTATGCATGATGAATTGAATAATTTTTAAAGAAACAATGTTTGGAAACTAGTTCCTAGACCTAAAAATGTTCATATTATTGGAACTAAATGGGTTTTTAGAAATAAGCTTGATGAGTTTGGTATAGTAACTAATAATAAAGCTTGTTTAATTGCCCAAGGATACAATCAAGAGGAGGGCGTAGATTATGGTAAAACTTTTACACCGGTTGCAAGACTAGAATCAATTAGAATCTTTTTGGCCTTTACTAGCTTTAAAAATTTTAAGTTATTTCAAGTGGATGCTAAAAGTGCTTTCTTGAATGGTTTTATAGAAGAAGAGATATATGTTGAGCAACCCCCCGGCTTTATTAATCCTTCTTTTTCAAATCATGTATACCGGGTTTAAAAAGCTTTATATGGGTTAAAACAAGCTCCTAGGGCTTGGTATGCTCGCCTCTCAAAGTTTTCTCATTGAAAATAGTTTTACAAAAGGAAAAATTGACAATACACTTTTTGTTAGAAAACGGAAAAATGATTTTATTTTAGTTCAAATTTATGTTGATGATATTATTTTTGGTGCCACTAATGAATCTTTGTGCAAGAACTTTTCCAAAGTTATGCAAGATCAATTTGAGATGAGCATGATGGGAGAGCTCACTTTCTTTCTCAAGTCAAACAATCAAATAATGGAATATTCATATCGTAAAGCAAATATTTTAGAGAGTTGGTCAAAAAATTT